AGACAAACCCAAACCTTAACAATAGGTGATAAAGGTTTAGTGCTTTCCTATTTGGATGATGTGTATGTCTTATCCAATACCGATATTCAACAGGACGTCTTTTCTTCTCTTGATTCGTTGAACCTTTCGATCAAGTTGAATAAAGATAAATGTTTATCGAAATCGGTGGATGATATACGCACTGAGGGGATGGAGTTGCTAGGTACAGTGGTGGGTCCTAGGCACGTGCGTGTGGGGTTCCTTCGTAGACAATTGGAGGTAGTCAAGCGTAAGCTCAGTCGTTTACGACTTGTGCGGACTCAGTATGCGTGGCTTCTGTTATCAAAGTCATTTCAAGCATCGCTTCGACACCTCCAGCGCTCGTTGGACCTCAGTGACGCTGGGGATGAATGGCACCGGGTAGACGATGTCTTCCGTTCTGCTATTCGTGAGTTGCGCGGCTCTCCTAGAGTCTTACCCACGGACGAAGATCTTTTTCATCTTCCGTCATATCAAGGCGGCCTAGGTATAGTATCGCACGCACGTGTAGCACCCTTCGCGCGTAAAGCCATGGCTGAGCAAGCTGGACGGCAGCTACAGCTCATTCTTCACCCGTCTTCTGACCTGAATCAGCCCCCAATCACCCAGCAGCGAACGTACACTGATGTGGCGAATGCTGTGAGGTATAAGGAGCTGAGTGATGGGCTTGACCTTTATGGCAAGTTACAGTTGGCGGAGAATGGTACGAAATTGGGGCGAAAGCCTCTTACGTCTCTACCATTTGAGCCTGGCCTGCGCTTTACTAACTCTGAGTTCAAGGCTCTTCTCCACCTGCGGACGCTGTGTCCTGGCGAGGCACACATTTGCCATTGTGGTCAGCACAACACGCCTGGCCATGATGACATTTGTCGTGACCGAGTTCAAATCAAGACGTGGCGACACGATAAGGTGCGGGACCACCTTGCTAGTTATCTCAAGGCGGCAGGTGTATCTGTATCGACGGAGAAGAAGTTAGCTCCAGAGGATCCTCACAACTTGATGAGGATGGACTTGGTCCTCAGCCACGCTAACGGTGCTGGCGCGTACGCCATGCATGACATCACTATCCATTCTGCTTCCGCCTTAGCCCCTTATATCGCTTCAATTACTAAGGATTGGCAACAGAAAGATGGGATGCAGCTGTTACGGGCCGGTTTGAGCCACCAAGCTGCAAAGAAGGTGGACAAGTATCGGCACGTTGTCTCTTTAGACTTCGTGCCACTTGTCTTCAGTGCTGGCGGTGCCTTGAGTGCGCATACTATGGACCTCTTCAAGGCTTGGCGGAGTATCGTCCCAAGTTGGGATCACCTTCAACGTCTCATCGCCTTTGCCTTAGTTCGAAAACGGGTTACGAACTTCCGCCTGGTCAATTGAGGGTTCTCTTAATGGTTTAACAATGGTGTTTATCCTGGTGGAGTGCGTTGGTCATGTCTTGGTCCGATAGCGTACGCGGTGAAAATTTCTCAGACATTTCGTTTTTCTTTGTCATTTACATATAGATCTCATTTATCACCTAACCTAACCTGAGGCAGCGACCCACCTCAAGAATCTTGGCCCATTGGGTCGGTACAAGATGGAGCTGTCGTTTTATGAGCGTGAAAAGGTCAACAAGTACGGGGACCTCACTGATACTTCCTTTGTTCCGCTTCTTCTCACTGCGGGGGGTTTCGTAACGGATTCTTCGAATGAAGTGTTTCAGAAATGGCGAAAGATAACGCCGCATTATGAAATGCTTACAAGACTGTTATCATTGGGCCTTATACGCGCAAGGACAGCGTATTTTGAGTTCTAAGCGATCATTTGGATTACCACAAATTTTTCATCTTTTTTTTTTTAAAAAGTATTTTAGAAATAAGACAAATTGTATCGACAATAATTAAATGCTTGCTAACCTAACCTATGCAAACTAACCTATGTAGAACAATCATATCAATAAACCCAAAGAAGCCAAAAGCAATGTGATTTATGAACTCAATTTTTTCATCTGAGAATGGCTAATACTGCCTGCAAGGTCAATACAGAACTTAAAATTGGTATAAGATTTTAACTTTACAATCCATTGTCATTGCGTCGGCTTGTTTGAATCATGTATTGTATATTTGAAGCATTAATGAAGCTTTTGCAACGCTCTAGGACCCTCTTCCATCCACTCTTGTCTGGAGACCCAGAAATCGTTTGTGCGCTGAGCCATGATCTGACCAAGAACAGCAGCACCAACGAAAACCATGTGCTTTCTCCGTGGTGGATCTTCGATACGAATTTTGAGGTTCTGTTGGGGAGTGGTAAGCAGGGTTATAAGCTGGAAGAGAGTAACTTACGCCTAAGCGATCCGGGTTACCACCAGCGACGTTTTGGAGGTAAAGCTGCTTGACTTCCTTCTCGAGACGTGACGGAAGACCTGGATACATACTGCTACCACCGGAAAGAACAATGTGCTTGTAGAGTTCAGATCTCGTGTCAACTGCAGCGGATTGGATGGTGTTAAAGAGTAATTCAGCGATACCAGGCTGCTCGACATCGACGAGGTGCGGTTGGAACATGCACTCTGGAGCCTCAAAACGCTCACTGGCTACCTTAATAACACGGCCATCTGGGAGAGTGTAAGATTCGACGAGGGTGGTTGTATCCTCGGCGAGCTTCTTGTCTGACTCAAGATCATAACTATACCATGTTAATTGGGGTGCTTAACGAGCCAATAGCTCACCTAGTAAAGCAAAGCTTCTCCTTGATCTCTCTAACTGTCTCAAAGTCAGCAGTTCTGTTGAAGGCGTATCCACGCATGAGAAGAAGCTTGATGAGGTATCTGGTGACATCGCGACCAGCGACATCGAGACGCTTAGTGAGATGAGGGAGAGCAAAACCTTCGTAGACGGGGACAACGTGGGTAACACCGTCACCGGAGTCGACGACGACGCCAGTTTGAAGACCTGAGCGGGGTGAGATGACATGGTTGTATTGAAGATAGCAACAAACCTTGCGCATAGAGAGTGAGAACAGCCTGGATAGCAATGTAGACATAATCGAAGCCGTATTCTTCAAACATGACCTCGCACATCTTCTCTCTATTGGCGAGTGGATTCATTGGAGGTTCAGTGAGGAGAACCTTTCTACCGCTAGGATCGATACGCATCTTATCGAAAATGGTATAATCCCAGAGATTCTTCATATCAGGCCAGTTCTTGATGACACCGTGTTCAAGAGGTGAAGTGACCTGCAGGAAAGTTCTGTACTTCTCGGCCTCATCGCCAATCATGAGATCCTTTATCTCAGCGCTGCCGACTCTCTCCTCTGCTCTGAGGATTGGTCTACCGATGATTGAGGGGAATACGTGCTCCGGGAAATTAGAGCCTGCGTAACCAGTCTTTACGAAACCGGTACCGTTGTCGATCTGAGGATGGCTATGAGTGGGGAATTTCCATCACGTTCAACGCACAATAATTGGCATCGATGGGTCCATTGCTGATGACGTTTTGAAGTAAAAAGGTTTATTCGTTAAATTCAATTAAGTATTCAAAATACAAATCTCGTTGGGTATATTTTAAATTTAACAGCTGTGATTTACTGATAAATCTACTCACCTAGAAAGACGTCGTCGCGTCTATCTCCACTGTTAGTATCCCCGCCATAAACTTTAAAAACATTACGAGATACTGATCAACGCGCAATCCATCTTCACTATCCGTCTCGGGCTGTTGTTGCAGCTGCTGCGACTGTGGTTGCTTTTTCGATCCACCGACAACACTACTCAGCCAACCCTTCTTCTTGGATGTGGCAGTTGACGTATTCGGTGAATCCGCTTTAGCCTTTGTATCCAGCCTTTCTATCATTTTCTTCATCACTGACGCGTGCTTGCATGGGTGAACAGAAAGCATTGGTGTGTTTGATGCTGAGTGGGGGAATGGTTCTGAGGTGACTGTTTTGTTGGCGTGGTCAGATGGAACGTCTTCGAGTATTTGGTTGTATGAGAGAGGCTTTTGGTGCTACTCTGTTTTAGCCTTGTCTTGGATGAAAAAGCACCACCCACCTCATCGTAGCCTTGTAACCACAAACGCGGTGTCTGGTAGTACTTATCGTATGTAATAATACAATCGTACGTTCGCACCTTGAGCACGCCACTGCTGCCCGTATCAACCACTGCAGGATCATCTGGCTCATCAATCACACCAAAATCGTCGTCGTCTTCCATATCAGGGATATCTTGAATATTCTCAATGTCTTGGCTGTCTTTAGATTTTTGAGGAGATGAGGGTTGTATAGTGGGTGAGTTTGTGGGCGAAATGGATGGCATGATATCTGGAACATCGCCCTTTGATTGGTTTCCAGCGTGAGTCTGAACCCAGTCATCCTCACCTTCTTCACCACCAACTGTAAGCTCATCATTTACGAATTTCAGGAAAGCTTCATTATCAGGGTCGCCTAGACTGTCTGTGAAGGCCATATCCCTGGCTCTGCGAAGTGAAGGGACATTTCTGGTGATGAGATATTGCTTATCGGCAGGCAGATAGTCTCTGTGCTTCGATTCATCACCACTGCACCACGTCCACGTCGGAAATTTGTATGTTAGAAACTCGCCAGCGGCAACGAATTCATCTGGTGTGAGTGTGAGTGGGAAGTAGCTCAGCTGGCAGAGACGCACCTGGAGTAATTCTGCCGTGCTCTTTGAATTTTGATTCCCTAAGCACCTGCTCGAGTCAGCGGCTGAGGAGCGCTAGGCGATATACTAACCGGAGCGAGGTAATCTCTAACAGCCCAAAATTGAGTCTTTATGTGTCAGCAAAGCCACAACCCAGCCACCAAACTCACTTGAATCGTGCCTTGTATTCCCGTCATTTTCTAGAAGGTTGTGTGTATTCAAGAGGGTAATCCCATCTCTTTCCACTACCATCATCATCATGCTCCCAAGAACAGTACGCGCAGCTCACAAGAATATCCAAAGAGTTCCCTCTGTCTTAGCCAGAGGCGCTCACAAGGTGCGTCTCCGTCGCCATCTTCACTCATCTCTCACGTAGCCACCAGGACATCAAATTCGGCGTTGATGCACGTGCATCTATGCTCAGTGGTATTGATTTGCTTACAAAGGCTGTATCATCTACTCTCGGTCCAAAGGGTCTGTTGAATTCGCCGTTCTCGCTGAAATTGGCTAATAAAATTAAAAGGACGCAACGTAATCATCGAACAAGCCTTTGGTGGCCCAAAGATTACAAAAGATGGTGTCACCGTTGCCAAGTCTATCACCCTCCAAGACAAGTTTGAAAATCTCGGTGCTCGTCTTGTCCAGGACGTTGCTTCCAAGACAAACGAAATTGCAGGTGATGGTACAACCACCGCCACTGTGCTCGCAAAGGCCATTTACGCTGAGGGTGTCAAGAATGTCGCTGCTGGCTGTAACCCAATGGATCTCCGTCGTGGTGTACAAAAAGCCGTTGAAGAAGTCATCAAAGTTCTCGAGGCTAACAAGAAAGTCGTAACCACTTCAGAGGAAATTGCTCAAGTTGCAACTATATCTGCTAACGGTGATGTTCACGTTGGTCAGCTCATTGCAAACGCAATGGCAAAGGTCGGCAAAGAGGGTGTCATCACCGTCAAGGAAGGAAAGACCATCGACGATGAAGTTGAGATTACTGAGGGTGGGACTTGAGCTGTTTATAACACTTCTTTCACTAACATAACCCACACAGGCATGAGGTTCGACCGCGGTTTCATCTCCCCATATTTCATCACCGACGTTAAGTCTCAGAAGGCTGAATTCGAAAAGCCTTTGTTCCTTCTTTCCGAAAAGAAGATTTCTGCTCTCCCAGACATTATGCCAGCTCTTGAGATTTCTGCCACTGCTCGTCGCCCACTCATCATCATCGCTGAGGACATTGACGGTGAAGCTCTTGCTGCTTGTATTCTCAACAAGCTCCGTGGTCAGCTTCAAGTTTGCGCAATCAAGGCCCCAGGTTTCGGTGACAACAGAAAGAGCATCCTCGGAGATCTTGCCATTCTCACCGGCGGTACCGTGTTCACCGAAGAACTTGACGTCAAGCTCGAGAAGGCCACCGTAGACATGCTCGGTTCATGTGGTAGCACCTCCATCACTAAGGAAGACACCCTTGTCCTCAACGGTGACGGTCAAGGTGAAATCGTCGCCAACCGCTGCGAGCAAATTAGAGCTCTCATCAACGATGCAAGCACCTCTGACTACGACAGATCCAAGTTACAAGAGCGTCTTGCCAAGTTGAGCGGTGGTGTCGCTGTCATCCGTGTCGGTGGCGCTTCAGAAGTCGAAGTCAGCGAAAAGAAGGACAGATACGACGATGCACTCAACGCAACTCGCGCTGCTGTTGCTGAAGGTGTCATCCCAGGTGGAGGTATCGGTTTGCTTAGAGCTAGTGACGCGCTGGGCTCAGATGCCGCCAACTTCGACCAAGGATTGGGTATTTCGATGGTCAAGAACGCACTCACTCGTCCAATGCGCACTATCGTCGAAAACGCCGGTGGTGAGGGTGCATTGATTGTTGGACAAGTCCTCGAGAAGCACCCACACGACTTCAACATGGGTTATGACGCCAGCAAGGATGAATTCTGCAACATGTTCGAAAAGGGTATCCTTGATCCGGTCAAGGTTACTAAGCAGGCATTGATCGACGCTTCAGGTGTCGCATCTCTCCTCTTCACTTCTGAGACTGCCGTCGTCGACGCACCAGAAGAAAAGGCTGGTGCACCACCTATGCCAGGCATGGGCGGCATGGGCGGTGGAATGGGAGGTGAGTACTGAGTGCTTCAATTAGCTGTCTTGTTTGCTAACAATTAAAACAGGAATGGGCTTCTAAGGACATTAGCACTTCCAGTATAAAAACATCACCACTCTAATCAATCGCAATAAAATGATATGCTTCTCTTTATTTGGATATAATTTTTAATTATAAGTTATGTTAGATAACACCTTTGTGCATGATAGTGAGGAGACTGAGACTGCCAAATCTTATATCTAAATTTGTGGGGGTGGCGTTTATTCTATTGGACTTTCTAACGTACTTTTAGCATAGCAGTACAACTATGCTCAGCAACAAACGCGTAATCGAATCACCTTCCTCCTCAGAGGCTGAGCAGAGCTCGGCGAAGGAAAACACAGTAAAGCGCGTCAAGAAGAACTCTCCTGTGAAGGCTGAGAAGGATGAAAAGGTGAAGGAGAAGAAAATCCACCCAATGTTCCTCCCCAAGCAGCAGATTTCGCAGGATAAGGAAGATAAGAGGTTAGTGAGGGAGGAAGTGGCAGCGACCGCAAGTAGCAAATCAAACGCGTCTTCCAAGACGAACAATTTCAACGACACCATCACATTTGCTCAGCTAGCAGACACATTCACAAACATCGAATCGACATCGAAACGCTTAGAGATTGCGGACCACTTGACGCAATTCTACAAACACGTCATTTTAACTAAGCCAGCAGAGCTGCTGATGACGGTATACCTCTCGCTCAACCGCCTTTGTCCAGATTACGAGGGGTTGGAGTTGGGTATTGGGGAGGGTTTGCTTATCAAGGCCATAGTTGAATCAACGGGACGCACCACCGCCAAGGTCAAAGAGGACTTCAAGAAGGCTGGTGATCTCGGCACAGTTGCGCAACTGGCCAGAAAAAACCAACCAACAATGTTCAAAGCTAAGGGTTTGAATGTACCAAGTGTGTTCAAGAATCTCAAAGAGATTGCAACGGCTTCTGGAAATCAATCGCAAACTAAGAAGATAGGTATCATAATGAAAATGCTTACGAATTGTGACTCCAGCACGAACGAAGCAAAGTTTCTAATTAGACTGCTAGAAGGTAAACTGCGTATCGGGTTGGCTGAGAGAACTGTGGTGGTTAGTTTGGCTCATGCGATTGTGTTATCGCGCGATGAGAAAGCTACGAAGGAGGACTTAGAGAAGGGTGTAGAGGTGGTGAAGCAGGTGTACTCGGAGCTCCCTTCATATGATATGATAGTACCTGCTTTGCTAGATGGCGGTATCAATGATCTACAAGAAAGATGTCATCTTACACCAGGTGAGGGAGCACGGGTAGCTATCAATCACTCCTGCTAACAAAGCAATCCAGGTATACCACTCAAACCTATGCTGGCCAAGCCTACTAAAGCAGTTTCAGAAGTGCTTGATAGATTCGAAGGGAAGAGTTTCACATGCGAATACAAATACGATGGTGAGCGTGCCCAGATACACTACCACGACGGAAAGGTGAAGGTGTTCTCTCGTAATTCCGAAGATATGTCAAACAAATACCCAGACCTCGTCGAGCAACTTCCACGCGCTATTAAGCCCGGTGTCAAGAATTTTGTCATCGACAGTGAGGCTGTCGCTTTCGACAAACAGACAAAGAATATATTACCTTTCCAAGAACTGACGCGTCGTAAGCGCAAAGATGTAAAGGTGGAAGACATTACAGTCAAGGTGCATATCTTTGCTTTCGATCTGCTCTATTTCAACGACAAGCCGCTGCTGCATGAAGATCTCACATACAGACGCAAACTTTTGAGTGAAAACTTTGTCCAGGTCGAGGATGAGTTCGCTATGGCCAAGTCAATGGAAGCGCAGTCGACAGAAGAGATTGGTGTGTTTCTGGAAGAGAGTGTGCGAGACAGCTGCGAGGGACTGATGGTGAAGCTGAACCTTGGTGAAAGTGCTTGGTACACCCCTTCGAAACGTTCGATGAATTGGCTGAAATTGAAGAAGGACTATCTAGCAGGTGCTGGAGACTCGCTTGATTTAGTCGTCATTGGTGGTTACCACGGAAAAGGCAAACGTACGAATGTTTATGGTGCTTATCTCCTCGCTTGCTACGATGAGGACAGCGAATCATATCAGAGTATATGTAAAATCGGTACTGGGTTCAGTGAAGAGATGCTAGAGCAACACTACAAGCTCCTCAATCCGCTCGAAATTACAGTGCCTAAATCATACTATAAATTGGGCACTGCGAAACCTGATGTTTTCTTTGAGCCCCAGGCTGTATGGGAGGTTTTGACTGCTGATCTATCTCTATCTCCTGTTTATACCGCAGCGTCAGGTGAGATTTCTGAAAGAGGTATCAGTTTGAGATTCCCGCGCTTTATCAGAGTCAGAGACGATAAGGGAGCGGAGGATGCGACGACATCAGATCAGGTTGCTGATATGTATAGAAATCAAGCGTCGGCACAGCAAAAAGCCACTAAGGCTGATATCGACGATGTGAGTTTGGTGTCTGAGAGATGATTAAGATACTAACCAATGCGCTTATAGGACGCATATTAGAAAAAAACGCGTAGAATAAAGCCAAAGTTACGCGTAAAAGTACTTCTTTTGACATACTGATTAATATAATGTATATTTTTATTTTTCGTGTCGCGTATTTATAAATCACCGGATATGAATCTTTCTCTTTGTAGAGGCGACGACGATCACGAGAGTGTAAGGATGTCCAATCTACACTCGCAGATGCAAGGCTTGAGCCTCGGCGACAACAACAAGCCGAAGCAGATTCAAAAGCTTCCATCGAAATACAAACCAAACGACGTGAATCGCATGCCAAATTTGATAAAGATGGCTAACACACTCAACACACAAACCACCACTCACAAAGCGAACAATGACAGCTTGATTGGTACGTATGACGGTGGTTTAGAGCGCGACGAGGAGGACAGGAAGGGAGATAGCGCTGGTGGAGATAAAGGGAGGATTCTCGACTTGCAGTTGCGAGGACAAGCGTGGAATCTCAACATGTTCGACGTTGGTAGACCGCTAGGAAAGGGTAAATTCGGTAGGGTGTACATGGCACGTACGCGCACGCAGCCGCCATTCGTCGTAGCTTTGAAGTGTCTGTACAAGACTGAGCTGGTAGAGGCGCGCGTTGAGAAGCAGTTGCGCAGAGAGATCGAAATACAGGCTAATATGAGGTGGGAAAGGAGTGTTTTGAAAAGATGGCCAACTAACACACCCCAGACATCCTAATATCCTCCGTTTATACGGATTTTTTTATGACGGAAAACGGATATACCTGATGATAGAGTTTGCAGGGAAGGGAGAGCTTTACAAGCAGCTGAACAAGCTGGGCAGATTCAGCGATAAGAGGTCATCGCGGTATATAGCGCAAATGGCAGATGCACTGCTTTATTTACACAGCAAGCATGTTATACACAGAGATATAAAGCCTGAGAATCTGCTCTTGGGGATCAATGGCGAGCTCAAGATAGGTGATTTCGGATGGTCGGTGCATGCACCGGGAAATAGAAGGACGACTTTGTGCGGGACACTCGATTACCTTCCACCGGAAATGATTGAAGGCAGGGAACACACGGCGGCAGTTGATCTGTGGAGTCTGGGCGTATTGGCGTATGAGTTCCTCGTTGGAGGACCTCCGTTTGAAGAATCAGGACATAGCGCGACATATAGACGAATCAGTAGGGTTGACTACAGTATACCACCACACGTATCCCCAGAAGCGGCAGACTTAATCAGCAAGTTGCTGGTTCATGAGCCCCACCAAAGATTGGCGTTGGAAAAGGTACAAATGCATCCATGGATATTGAAGTACAAGAAGTCTTCGAGATCGACAGGGGTCGTTGGATAGTTTAGTGTATGTAGTACATTGATTGTGTTACGTTTATCGTGATGTGCTATATGGTTTGCGCTGGCTGCTTTGCGAACATTGCATGTTGAAGTGTTTGCTCTAGTAAAATGTAGCTATATCAGGTGTAGTGATTTAAGAGTGAGAACTAGGTAAGATGCGAGATAAGATACGATGCTCGACTGGGGTGGTTCGATGTGAGTGCAGTCAACACTTGTTTTCTTGTATAAACCTGCACTCTGAGCGAATATCGAGGAGCTGAGTTGAGATTGATGCTGCTGGCAACTAGAGCACAACGACGCAGCTGAAGATTTTCTACGTCTGCTTACAACGTCACTGACAAGCTTAGACTGAGGTGACTTATCACTGTCGTCTGTAAAGAAATCAAACAAATCGCCGGACAAATTGGAAGGGAGGGATGAATCAAATGAGGTGGGTGTGAAACTGCACAGGTCGAGGTCGTCGCCGTTGGAGAAAGTGCCAGTGCCGTCGTGGGTTGGTAGCTGCTTAATGAGATCTGTCATCATGGTAGTAAAAAGGGATTCAACCAAATAGGAGAAGGTGATATTGTGATGATGTTATGATTGTATGATTGCGTGATAAAATGATAAAATACATAATTTATGAGATGACATGTGTAACAATAGCGCAGTTATAGTGGCTGTATGTGCATGCTAACAAATGGAGTGAGATTAAGCAATGTGAGACAATTAGCTCCGAACTTACCCGAGAGAGCTGCCGTTCGGATGGATGGTGAAACGTAGATGAGTGTTATCATTTCGAAGTATTAACACCTCAATAGGAGAATTGCCATTGCTCTTAATAAACTGTGGCAGCTGATTGAAGTTGTCTTGGGTGACGTGCGTGAAAGGACCAAATGAGATTATTTTATCGTTCGTATGTAATCCAGCAGAAAAAGAAGAGCTGCCCGTTAATATGTTATCAATCACAGACCACGGTTGCAGATGAGAGGGTGGATTCGCTGTGGGTTGAGACGGGGTCGAGTACTTAGAGTGATGATGTAATAAATGATTTGATAGCTTCTCATTAACAGTTTTCATATCATTCTCCAATCTACTTAACTCATTCCTGTAATTAGAAATTGTATACAAATCCAAATCTGACCTTGGATAGCCGTGGTTATCAACTAGATTTGTCGATTTCGTAATTTTATTCTCATAAAAGTAGTCGAATATTTCGTTAAGCCTTGATTGGATTGCCTCTCTGTGTTTGATGAGATCTTCCATTTATGGGGATGATAGTTAAGTATAGAGAGATTTTAGGGTTCGTAATGGACCTGCAATAGCTGTATTATCATCAAAACTATCTCTATCTGATTCCACCTTCCCTCTCTAATCGAAACCACCAAGTCCACCACACAGATGAATAACAGCGACAGCAAAATAACTCAATTACTCAGTAAATTATCAGATAATGATACAGATCACAGATTTATGGGGCTAAATGATTTATATTTGTTAGTTTCATCACCCACTTTAAATCTAAGCGAGGAAATGGAAATCAAATTGGTTGATAAGTTGATCTATAAATTGGAAGATAACAATATCGAAATAAAGGAATTCAATTTGAAAGTCTTGGTTGAATTGGTCAATAAAGTTAGATTCGTTAGTTTGAATCATCTCATCTTAAACTTGTTAGACACTCTTAAAGCTTCAAACACTCAAGAGCTTAAAGACATTCACTTGATTTGTTTGAAGGGTGTCATTAAGCATTCTAATCGGCTAGCTTTGTTAGATAGCGATTGGTTCATTAACAATATCATAAGCATTCTCGATATACAAACTTCAATTGATTTGTTAGATGTCTTGCATATTTACATTAACAAAACACCCATCAACGACAATCAACGTTCAATTCTCATCAAAACCCAATTCAATTTTATCACTTCATCAAACTCAAGACATTCAATGAAGAAGAAGTCCATCTCTTTACTCACTACACTCCTCAACAGCAACCACTTGGACACTCTCAACACCTTTATCGACAAGAATCTCTCATCGAACTTTATCATCACTACCCTCCTAATTCAAAACACTCTACATCTCATAAACACCCCAACACATATTGATCAACTCATCAACCAATTGAACAATCAAGATGATGACATTAAAGACGCTGCCCTGTCAACTTTAGACTGCTATGTGTCCCACCTCAACCCTCAATCTCACATCACTCAACTCATCTCAATCTCTCAATCTCTCATCAATTACAATCCAAACTACTTTGATTTAGACGAAGATGATGAAGATGACGATCAAGATGACGAGGACGAGGAGGATGAACCTCTCTCCGACAATGACGACCTCAGCTGGAAGGTTAGAAAATCTGCTGCCAAACTCCTCACCACCATCATCGCAAGCAATTCATTACTCCTTTCTCATCTCTACTCCACCCTCTTTATCCATCTCCTCACCGTCACCTCAAAGGAGCGTGAGGAGAGTGTAAAATTGGAGCTATTCAACGCCATCAATGCCTTCTTCGTCGTTAGTGCTGCTGTTGCTCAAAAATCTTCTCTCAAACGCAAACACAATGAAATGGATGTTGATATCACAGCTCAGTGTGATTTACAGTCTAACACTTATAAATCTCCACTCATCAACTCCCTCACTAAGCACCTGAGCGACAAATCTCTTATTATTCGCTTGAATTCATACAAGTTACTCACCACGCTCATTCAGTCGATGCCTGACATCTTGCAAGCCCCATACATTGATGAAATCGCTCCGCTTATTCAACAGGGTCTAAACAATGTCGAGTCTACAATCTCATCAGGTGAGTGAATGACGTTCGCTGAATTGCTATTCTCACATTTTACTGATTGCAGGTCTCCCAATTGAGGTGCTCACTCTGCTCAACACTCTCTTCGAGACCCATACATACCGTTCCATTCAACACTCCATACCAGCATTCACACACACATTGATCAACACAACGAAGCTAACGAAATACCACAAGCTGTCGTCCTTAGCATTCAAGTCACTCTCCAATCTCGTCATCCTCCTCCGTCCCAACAAGGAAGATGGCCTTTGCTCACCTTCACCCATCAAGCAGACTGAGATCAACGACCTAATTAAATTGATAGCTTTGTCTACAACAGAACGTATTCAAGATAGTGACTTGTCGAATAATGTCAAGGATGATGCTATAGACTTGGTCTCAGTACTCCTCTCGCATGGTGGGAATATTTTGGTACAGTCCGACAATGACACCAACGTCTTGCATTTGTTGAAAGATAGAACGTACAACAATCTTAACAGATTCAGCGGTATCAAAGCAATACAGTCCGTCGCAGCGTCCAGGTACACATGCACCAACGAGATTTTTACACAATGGCTCACAGACTGCGTCAAACTCATCACACCTCTCATCAAACAAAACGACAGAGTGATCAAGATGGCTGCGTTTGAATGTCTCGAAGTACTCCTCGAGAGAGTGGCAGACAGAATTAGTAAAGATGTCGTAGCTGAATTGGTTGATAGCATCCTCCCGCTCGTAAATATCAACGACATCAACACTCTTTCGCACACTCTCAACATGGCTACCAAGTTGTTTAGCAGCAATGATCTTGAGATACGTTCAATGGTGCTAAAAATACTCAATCGTTCCTACTCACTTATCAAATCGCCGGTGCTTATAATAGAACCTCTTGAGTCATTTTACCAAGTTGCCTCGAGAGATGGTGGACTCAGTGCTGAGATAATCTCCAGACTGCTTAACGAAATCGGGAAATTGGATGACAAAGAGCTTAAAGATGTTGGCGGTGAGGGAGAGCATATACTCGACAATGTCAGTAGATTGATAGGCGGTGTAATTGTTGAAAGTGGTAATGGTAGTGGTAGTGGTGTTGAGCAGTTTGTCAATTTGGTAAAATCTCCAAACCAGCAAATTTCTGACGTATATTTGTCTCTTCTAGTAGTAGGCCACGTTGGCAAACACTTCGACTTGTCCCAGAATTACCCTCATCTGTTCAAAGATATCCAGACGTATTTCACTCACAGTGAGGACAAGGTACGCAGATCATCGTCTTGTTCGCTCGGAAGTATTTGCGTCGGTAGCTCAACATTTCTGCCGCAGCTTCTCGATCAACTCCGTGCGCCTGACTACCTCATCCTCCTATCACTGAAGGAAGTTATCAGTGGTGCGGAGCTATCGAGTAACGATGCGGACACTGTGTTCGATACACTTCTGTGTGGTACTAATGACGAGAACGTGCGCAACATCGCCGCTGAATGTCTTGCTAAGTTGCTCTACAAGAGTGAGACGTACGTGCCACACTTAAAACAGGTTCTGCAAGGTGAGGAGGAGAACAAAAAACTGGTTATCGTTATTGCTATTAGATACGCTATTAGTGAAGCCCCACACGAGAATAGTTTACAGCTCGACGATCTCTTCAGTACCTTCACCGCTCTTCTCGCACAGCAAAATTTGGAAGTAATAAGAATCACACTTTCTACTATCAACTCAGCTGCGAGACACAAGCCACAGCTCATCTCCGAAGGTGTCATCAACAACCTTCTCACGCAGACAACAGTAAACACTCAACTCGTGCGCCAAATCACCCTCGGACCTTTCAAAGAAACGATTGATGACGGCCTGCCAATCCGCAAGACGGCATTTGAGTGTCTTTATACTATGTCGAACCACTCTGAATTAGTGAGCGCTCGTGATCTGATAGAGCAGGTCAAAAAGGGGCTTGGCGATGTGGATGAGATCAAGATACTGAGCTACCTTATTTTGAATAGGTTAGTTAGCGTGTGTGGAGATTTGGTTTCTGAGTGTGAGTATGAATATGAGTATGAGTAAAAGTGACAACTCTGACACACAACAGCACTCAACGACATCCTCCCATGTCTCCAAAAGACACTACAGCACAAACCTAAAGATAACGCTACCAAGATGGAGCATGAGCGTAATACAGAGTTGCAATCTAGTGTTTGTCGCACAATGGCTACGCTGAATGGTAGCAGCCTAACCAATCAGCATGGCTTGCTCATAAACCTTATTAAGACCGTTATCGAGCCAAACCCTACTTTTAAGACCGTTTTCTTGGCTTCATCGCAATTAAATTTGAGTACTACTAATAATTCCTCTGAAGCTATGCAGATTGATTGAGGTACTTGGATCGGTGGATTGATAGTTGATTTTATTTATATCTTTTCCTGCGTTTCTGTTGTCAATTTAGCCATCAATACAAATGCATTTGTTATCTTAAGCACAGATTGGGACATGCAAGACACAGTAAGACAGAAAAAAATGTAACACTGTAAGATCTAGAAAAGAATTATATAAGCATATAAGGTACAGGAGAGACATAATTCAAAGTGCTGTAAATGCCTCAGAAAGAAGAATTTTCTTTCTTGTCTACCTGGGTGATATAAATCTAATTACGTCTTCTAAACTGATTTGATTAGACCAGAAGCAATAGTTTGACGATTACAACGGACAACAAACCGACCAAGCGATGGGTTCTCTGTGTAAGGCTCAACACAAATTGGACTGGTTGGTGTTATTTTGATGATGGTTGCATCACCACGCCTGACGAACTCAGGTGATGTTTCAACAGTCCTTCAGTCACGTCTCTCGACCGTCTCGAGGATTTCATCGAATTTACAGGCAATTTTGGAGGTGTGAAAGTCGAGAATTGGAGTGTAACCAGCACTAATTTGAAATGAGACGTCGAGGCAATGACTTGTGCGTAAAATAAAATTACCTCTTTGGCTGTTTCATTCCTTGACTCAGAAACAACATCGACGGGACGGATATCATTAATGTTTACATTTTCGACGTTGAAACCAACGACGTCACCTGTTTGACAAACCGCCTATGAATTGCGATGCAATTCAACGGACTTAATGTCACTGGTGATAGCTGATGGTGCAAAAGTGACAGCCATGCCTGGCTCAATTCGACCAGTCTCAACACGACCAACTGGAACAGTACCTGCATCACCAATCTTTTATACATTTTGCAAAGGAATACAGAGTGGCTAGTCATTTATACGTCTTGGTGGCCTGATAGAGTCAATAGCCTCAATAAGCGTTTAACCCTGTACCATGGCAAGTTGTTGGATTGCTCAAGCAAGTTCTCACCGCAACATCCTCAAATTGGAAAAAGTGGAACAATAGAAAGGTTGTAACCGATCTTCTTCATGATGTTGGAGGTGGCACCGACAATTTCAGAATAACGTGCCTGTGAATAATTACAGGTGTCCATCTTGTCAACGGCAACAACGAGTTGCTTGACACCGAGACTGTAGCAAATGAAAGCGTGCTCAAGTGTTTGACCGTCTTACGAAACGCCAGCCTCAAATTCACCAGGACTAGCGCCAATGACAAGGAGACCACAGTCAGCTGAAGTAGTTTTTCAGCTTGTTGTGCTTCCTTAATTCTTGGCGAAAAACCTTGAGAAGTAACAGTAATCATGTTCTTGACGTAATTTCTGTGACCTGGGACATCGGTGACAGTGACGTTGTACTTGGGTGTCTCGAATTTCGAGAGGGCGAAATCAATGGTAATACCGCGCTCACGCTCAGCCTTCAGCTTTTCGAGAACCCAAGCGTACTTGAAAGAACTCTTATCGACTTTACCTGCTTCGGTTTCGAACTTGTCATTTTCACCTTTGTCGATACCACCTCATTTGTAGATCAAGTGACCAGTGGGGGTCGACTTTCCGGAATCTACGTGTCCGACAACGACTGTGTTGATATGCAGCTTTTCCTGTGCGCTGAAGTGTCAGAATGACTTGCTTTAGCCAATTCTTACTTTCACATACTTGACTCATATTAGAGGCGATGAAAGTTCAGGATGTGTCCTCGGGATTATTGAAAGTTTTGACAGACGGCAGATAATCAAAAAGTCCCGATTATCTCATTCAGCACAGAATATCACTCCGAATAGCTGTAGAATTTAGTCGCGCTACGTCAAATTAAAGATATTAGAATATATATAAAAAACGATTCCAAGGTTTTATAAATGATAGTGGCACAACTTTTAAGTACCTCAGTTACATAGCATCCGTCGAGTTTGTAGTTAAAGATTTACTATGGGAAATAAACTTTTTCTCTTCTTTCGATCTCTGTTTTAGACTCTACTAGTATCATATGTATGGGTATCTACTAGATTTGTTACAAATTATTGTTTATGCAGGACGCACATGTTTGATAAACCGGATATAAAATCTTATTATCTTCGGAGATCGCGATAAAAATCAAGATTTTTGCTCGTGATTTCCACTGATACAGCAATTATTCGTATGCCACCTCGTACTAAATCTCTAATCCCAAATACAGCAGTTGACATTTCACACTGATCCTCATCTCATATGTCGCTATACCTTGCTAGTCAGCCATGTTTTAATATTCTTACGTCAGCATGAGTAAAATATTAAAAATATTCATGGAGTTTGAGCTTTCGAGTCTAACCTAAAACCATCTGACGTCAACGGACATTTGAGTGCACCGTAATAATTGAGCTGATCTTAAACATTTCGAGGCTCATGGTCCTTTACGTCTTTTAATTGATGTATCCAGCTGATTGACAATCTTCGAGACACACGCGCCATTCCATGTAGCACCCCATACCAGCACTCTACACGTCGATTTCTACCATTATAGCACACGCATTTACTCTCAGAATACACTGTCACCATGGAATGATTATTTGTCAGATATTTGCTTCATACAGGACACTTGGCACATTAACAAGATCAAAATACCACCCGGAGATTGAATGATTCACTCATGACAATTAAAAACTGTTAGACATCCAATGGAGTAAAAAAATATGTATAATTGCCGAAG